TTGTATCTCTAAGGAAACGCACAATTAAAATGACTACAGTCTTTTTTGAATATACTAGTACTTTTAATCTGGGTGAATGGAGCTTGAATTCCCTTTTAAAATACAGCTCTACAACACTTTTCTATGAAGTCTCTGGTAGTGCACAGGGAGGTCAGTGTGTTTGTATCACTCCTTATTTCTTCAGCTGAGTGCACTGAGGTCATTTGGAAAGAAACCCGGCCACTCTGTTCCTGTCCAGCATTTGCTGCCCATTAGTAAAGGCAACTGCTGAGAGCAAAAGACTAAAGAGACATCTTTTTCCCCCTTTTTCCTTCCCAAGGACTTTTTCTCTCCCAAAACAATTATAAACAACATGACCTCCAATTCCAATTTATCCAACATGCGACGGCTGGTAGAACAACTGAAGCTTGAGGCCAGTGTGGAAAGAATCAAGGTAAAGCTGGTATTTTTACAGAACACGACTGCTTGCTTTCTACAAACTAGCTTTTGTTGATTGATGTAACTATTTTGTTTAATATGTACATTATGAATGTTGGGAAAGTGCAACTAGATTAATTTAAGAATAAGATTTAGAATAAGATTGTTTAATCTATTTTATTTAAAACACTTAGTATACGGTATTACACTACAGAAAAGTCACTCTGTATAGTTTAATGAATACATACATGCTTTAGATTAATATAAGACACACCATTAATTAATCACTACGTCAAAAAATGATTTTTAATGCAAAAACTCCAAAAAGTTCAAGATTTCTGATTATAAATATAAGCTGCATTAGCTTTTTTACTACCAAGTTCCAATTTATTGTGAATAATTTTAAGATTTGGGTTATTTACTAAGTATTACTTAATTTAAAAAAATAAACTGGGTAATCAGTATATTCAATTTAAAATAGTTAGTGCCACCTCAACTACAACCCTAATAATCTATAAATGTATTTATCTATTTATAATTTTGTATTATGTATTGTATTACTATCACTGTATTCTGTATTATAAGCATTATATTATCTTATGAATGTTTTAGTTTTTTTAAATGAAGGAATTTATTAATTTGTCAAATCTGCTCTTGTAAATGCTAATAAACTCTGGGTGTCAGTTACACATATCAGTTTTTGGTTTTGCACAACCTAAAAAACAAAAGGCCTGCACTTGATTTGTGTGTGTGTGTTTTTTTAATCCTTTTAAAGTATATGTGAGTTACAAAGTTGTACCATCTGAGTGTATTTTTATGTTTCTGCTTCCAGGTGTCCCAGGCTGCTGCAGAGCTCCAGCAGTATTGTCTGCAGAACGCAGGAAAAGACGCCTTGCTGGTTGGAGTCCCCACAGGCAGCAACCCTTTCAGAGAACCACGCTCTTGTGCCATAGTGTGAAGGTCAGGGTCCATAAAATGTGCAGCTTTGTTTCTTTGTAACGCCTGTTATTACGTCTCAATTTCAAATGTGGAATAAAAGGTTTTGCACCTTTTGCAGTGGAAGACAAAGTGGATACAAGTGGCATCCCACTCAAAGAAGATATTAATTTTGCTTTGTTTTTTTAATCGTGTAATAGATTTTAATTTCATGTTTTTCTAAAAATGTTTTTACACAGTTTTGTAAATCATCAATTTTTTGGTGAAACACATTAAAGCACATCCCGTGAACGTACAGTCTTTTCAGTTTTTCTTTTAAATTGCTTTTACAAAGTGCTGTGAAAACACCATTTCTGCACCAAACAGTCTTACAGTGATTATCTGTAAAGCTTTCAAAGCGGATGTTTGTTGCTGAGCTCTAAATTATGCCTTGGAATCTCGTGGCGTCTGCGCTTCCTGATGTTCAGTCTAAGTCAGGAACACAGCCAGAGAGAGGAAACTGGGTCTTCCTGTTCAAAACTGCAAAGACAAAATGCCACTTTTCATTTATCCTTTGAGCCTTTTAAAACTTTTTGGATGTTCCAGCTGAAGAGAATGCTTAGATAAAATAAAATAAATGCACTCTGTGCAGAAGGTGCTTTACAAACTATATAAAAACCATGTTGTTCATTGTATTTGTGCGCGACAGTTTACATAAGTCGTTGTCTGTTTAGTCAGTTCATTTGTATATTTTATTTTAAAACAGAACTTCTATTTTTTTATATGTCTACATTGTTCAAGAAACTGTTTAATCTCCCTAAAACAAGTCTAGCCAGTCACGAGACAGCTCTGCCTTATCACTTCCTTTTCCTGTCGCTGCATGGGCGAGTCTCAATAGCTCTCCTGTCATGATGCCTCCTTTGCTAGCAACATTTGCTCTGCAAACAAGGCTTTAGCGGTTTCTGCAGATGCTTTAAATAAACTCCTAGTTCTCTTTTCTCGTGTATCTTTGCAGTTTATTTAGGCAGAAGTCTGGATTTCAGAGTGTCAGAGAAAAAGGATTTAAGACACTATTGTCATATGTAAGCATGTATTTACAGTCAGTGTGTAGATATATGTTTATATAAAAAAATAAAAATAAAAATAAAATGGGTGTTAAGCGCTGAGCTTTAGAAGTGCTGGTAATTGTTTTATGGGCAAGGATTTCAGTCTCTAGCTGGTAGAGACAGACCCTAAAAGACTGGCATCTGTAACTGCAGCAAAAGGTGGTTCTACAAAGTGCTGACTCAGGGGGCTGAATAATTACGCACACCCCACTTTTCAGTTATTTATTTGTAAAAAATGTTTGGAATCATGTATGATTTTCGTTCCACTTCTCACGTGTACACCACTTTGTGTTGGTCTGTCACGTGGAATTCCAATAAAATTGATTCATGTTTGTGGCTGTAATGTAAAAAAATGTGGAAAAGTTCAAG